ACATGGGATTACGTCCAGTTCCCAGATTCTACCTAAGATCTCGGTCAACCTAGTTGCTTAAACTGGACGCAATATGCATACATTGAATGACTCAACGTGTAATTTGGAACGGGGTTTAAGGGACCAGGAACGGCGTTTCGCTTACTCGCATCGTTTGCATTATCTGTGCACTGTGATATATGAATGTGAGTGGAGTTATTCGTGGAGATAAGAGAGGCATTAGGGAATGCAGGATGGATTTGATTTTGAGCAATTTGATCTCGTGTGTTGTTGCGGGTATGAGGGCGGTTATCACTTCCTGGCTTCCCACACCGTGGAAGGTTGTTTCTTGTGGGACCTGAAAAGGAATATAGAGTAGTGTTGGTCTCGGAGACCCTGTTGCGTGACCGCAGAGCATAATGGACAACTGCTTGAGGCCGGTCATGCACGGCATTTTCATGAAACGTTTTTTAAGGATTAGCTCCGTTCTTAAAGGCCCTTAGTGGGCACCCTTACCCAAGGAGACGGAAATCCGTGAGTTAGGGGAGGTGTGATATTTTTAGGGACGACCTTTTCTAACTTTTCCTTCCTTGTGAGAAGGCAGCATCGCTGCATATGCTGGTTGTCCGAGGGAAACACTTTACTGCTGTCACACCCCTTTGCAGTCAGCAGTACGACTTCGCCCTCAGACCTTGGGTAGCTCCTTTTAGTCTCATCGTTCTCCGATGAACTCGTAATGATGAATACGTTTATTTGGGACACACCACAAAGCGAAGCATATCGGAGAAGGCTAAGAGCCAACTCTTTGGAATACAATGCGAGCGAATGGGCGAAGCGAATTGGAAAAGGCTAAGAGCCGACTCAAAGAGATAGAGCATGACTAAGTATATATAGTCAGACAAAAATAAGACGGACATATGACAAGCGAAATAGGCATGCACAGACATGAATAAAAGCGACGAATGAATGACAAGGTCAAAAGCAAGCGATAAAAATCATGTGAGTTCATTGAGATATTAAGAGATCAACATTAAAGCGAAAAGGATGAGTAAGCGCGTAGGCTTAAGCAATGCTCAGTCGTACAAGCTCATACAAACCAGATAATAAAAAATACTAATGGTACATATGAGTTGTTGCTATACAAATGGCTTGGTTAAATAAATTAATCGAAAGGGCTTAACCAGGTTAGATGTAAGCGAACTGGAATATATGTGGGGGCACTACAGGCAAGCAAGCCTGACCAGCACGCCAAGGTAGCAGCTTTGGTCGGGATAGCGTAGAAAGTGTATTCTACAAACACCCAACCAGCACACAATGAATCCAAGCACTCAAATTGCGTTTATTTATTTATATGCTCCATAGAGAGTTGATTGCGGCAGTCACAAAAAATAGCACTAAAATGACACAGTAACCAATCACAGCCAAGGATTTTCCTGGTGGTAAATGTGATCTCAAGGTCAATTCATCCTCCCATGAATAAAATCCAAAATAAAGATATTTATCAAGCGAGTTCTGGGGATCTAACATCGCCAACACTCCTCCCCTTCTTAATAGCATGCGATCCTGGGGTCGACTTGCATCTTGACTGTTGTTCGCCGCTGTCTGAGAGGATATCTTCGGGAACGGAGATCGGCTTGTGACTGAGATTCTTCTTCTCGTGGGGGTAGGTAGATTGAAGGTATCAAGCAGGATGTGAAGGGGAAGATTTTCTGCTCTTGATGGACGATCTGGTGCTAGCTGTTTGCGTATCTGGTTTCGATGGCGTGACCACCTTTCGCCTCCTACCTCTACTTCGTACATAACTCGCCCAACTCTTCTGATCACTCGCGCTTCTACCCAGGGACCATGATTTGTTCTGTAGTCACGGGCGAACACAGGGCATCCCACTTCGTAATAGGATTGCCTTTGCTGCTTTGTCTGTACTGATGTTGGTGCATTAGTCGGATGCATCGGGCTGTGGATCGTTTTTAGTCTTCTTCCCATCAGGGTTTCTGCTGGGGACTTTTGCTCCGGTAACTACTCATTTAGTGTTGTTCGAAAGACGTGCAAGAAATTTTGTAACGCTTCGGCTGGTGTCCCCTTCCCTTTTGACTTAATCAATGCTCTTTTAAACGTATCCACAAACGTTTCCGCTTGCCCATTCGATTGCGGGTGGTATGGTGGTGAGCGTAAGTGTTTAATGGCTAGCCGTTGGCAGAAAGTTTGGAAGATGTGTATTTCGAATTTTGTGGTCTAATCAATAAACAGTGGTTAATAAAGTTATTTACCTCGAAAGTACTCTTCTCCTTATTATCAAGACTGAAAATATAATGCATTCTTTTTATGCCATATCCCACTTCCAAGATACATTATTTATTTGAAACTATCTTCTATATTCACCAAGAGAATAGTATAACAAACAATTTTGATATTTAGAAACACATTTTAGTGGCTTATATTTGGATCGTAGCTGACTTCTTTATGTTACTGTTATTCATTATCTAACTGAAATTTTGTATTGTTTTGTATGGTCTTTAAATGAAGCAAAAAATTATCGACAAATTTATCTTAAAAGCTAAAGTAGTTAAGGCTCAATTTTCTTTTTGCCTACCTTAATACTTTTTCAAATAATATTAACTAGGAATCCAAAAAAAAATAGTATACGAAAATGCATTCCTATCAATGTGTAAAATGTCAAATAAAAGTACCTGATCAAATGCTTGGTTCATTTGTATGACTGATAATCTATGCGAATGGTCGGAAAAAAAGTATTAACTTCAGCTCTTTAAATATTTGCCATTAGATAAATATAATTGGTTAAAAAAATCAAAACTAATGATATTAATTAAATTTTGTGTCTGGATTCATTCATTTCTTAACATTTTAATTGTCTATAAAAATGACTGTGTATATCAACTATTCTGAATGAACTAAGTATTTCATATTATGGATAATATTAATGAAAAAAAACTACATTTAGATGTTTAAACATTTACTTCAAATCGCCAATCAATAATCAATGTTTTTTTGTACAGCTATGATCATCATCTTCATGGATAGATTAGCACTTTATTAAAATATATTTCATTAAAACTGTATCATTTCGATAATTCTAGAGAAAGTTAACCAGTTGACGTTTTAAATTGATTCTTGAACAGTATATAAACAAAAATCATACATGTGTGTCAATAATATTTTAAAAAGAGTAATCATCAAAATATATTATGATAATAATGTCTGATGTTAACTTACCTCCAAATACAAAGCCAATTATTAGCAGGTAATTGAAGAATTAAATCTTTTTTTTCAACCTATTTTCATGTTAATTAGTTTGTCATCATTATCAAGAAGGTCATTGAATGAATTCTTAGCTGGTGCAATAGGAGGTAAGTGTGTTCAATGCGTGAAAGTTATTAACAATTTTATTTTGAAACGGTATAACTCGATGTAAATCTTAAATTACTAAGAATTTGGTGATTTCTTGGTGGAGTCTAGAGTATGACTAAATTTTAGTCTTTATATTTTTTTAATAATTTTGTTTTAAATTATTTGATCAATTGATATGTCAGTTAAGTGAATACTCGATACATTTTGCTAGCTGCTTCTTAATGACCCTAAACTAAATCGACGAGATAAAGTAGATACAGAGAAATAGTGCAAAGTGCAAAAAATGATCTATGAATACATCAGTTTCTATACGATTTATTTACAGTCAGATTACCAGTCAGTTTTTTATAAATTTAAATAACAATCATAACTTACTTTCAATTAGAATTGTGTTATCAAAGAAACCGGTATTAGGAACCCGAATGTAAGTGAGACTATCTCGGAAAAGGATGGTCTTATTATCCATTCTCAATCTAGGAGGCTGGACCGATGGGCAGAACACTTTAGGGACCAGTTCAACTGGCCTCGAGCCACACTACGGTTGCCCACGATCCCCAGTCATCCTGAATGGCAAATGACGTAAGCCCCCATAGTCTTAATGAAATGGAAAAAGCGTTAGGAAATGTGAAGCCAGGGCGAGCTGCGGGTCCTGATACACTGACCCCTGAGATATTTAAGGATGGTGGTCCAGTTTTAGCAACTAGGTTGACCGAGATCTTAGGTAGAATCTGGGAACTGGACGTAATCCCATCTGATTGGTCCCAATCACTGATTATCCGTCTACAAAAACCAGCAAAAGTCCTATTGTGACAGTCACAGAGGAATCAGTTTAACAAATATAGTGTCTAAATTGTTAGCCTCGATTATACTAAGACGTCTAACTAGCGCTCGTGAAGAGCAGACTAGAGAAAACCAGGCTGGTTTTCGACCTGGACGTGGTTGTATAGACCACATTTTCACACTACGACAGGTCCTGGAACACAGACACACATTTAGACGTCCGACAATAGTCGTATTCCCGGACGTAAAAGCGGCATTTGACTCAGTGGATCGTGAGGTTCTGTGGCAGTGTCTGTCATTGAGAGGTGTACAAAAGAAGTACATTAACCTCATACAAGCTCTCTACTCGAATACCACTGGTCGAGTGAGAGCTAATGCCGATGACATAGTTCTATTCGGTGAAGACGCTGACGAAATGCAGAGTCTTCTGACTGCCATAAGCAACAATGCAAGCATGTTCGGGATGTGGTTTTCCCCCTCAAAATGCAAAATGTTGGGTTTCATCGGCACCTGAACTAGTGATAGGGAGTGAAGTAGTCGAGCGTGTTGACTGCTTCACTTAATTTGGGAGTCTTATCAGCGCTGATAGCCTGGTGACTGACGAAATCTCAGCTCGGATACAGAAGGCTTGATTGGCTTTTGCCAACCTGCGTCATTTATGGAGTAGAGGAGATATCCATTCGCTGACTAAAGGACGGGTGTACTGCGCAGCAGTTCGTTCCGTTCTCCTATATGGCTGTGAAACATGGCCAGTGAGAGTAGAAGATATTCGTAGGTTACTAGTATTTGATCATAGATGTTTGAGAAGCATTGCTCGTATATCTTGGGATATCCGAGTAAGCAATGCTGTCGTTAGGAAACGAGTACTAGGTAAGGATGGCAGATCAATAGATGAAGTGGTGAAACTTCATCAGTTGAGGTGGTTGGTACATGTGTTACGTATGCCTAACCACCGACTGCCTCGACGAGCTATGTTTTGTAGTGTAGGAGTAGATTGGAAGAAAGTTAGGGGAGGCCAGACCAAAACATGGCAGAAATCCATGAAGTCACTGACAAGTGGACTGAGTCATGTAGGTAGATGTAGGCTACCTGGTTGCGGTCCGCGAGACGAAAGTCATCAATGGTTAGAGACCTTGAACGACATGGCTCAAAATCGTTTGCAATGGCGCAAGTGCATCCATTCGTTGAGCTTTCTCAAATCCTAATCTTCTGTGATCGTCAACACCTCTACGTTTGTCTTTCTAACCTTATCTCACTGAATTATACTTCTTGAATAATATCTTCAAACCCTAGTCTTCTTCATTACCATTAATACCTCTACAATCTTTATCACTATGGGATTTGATTTGACATTTGCGTCTCTGTGCTGATGTGGAATGTCTACATGAACTTGTGTACATACGTACGAAGTTCTACGTTGCAACTGACTGTCTGACTGAATTAGAATAATGGAGATTAGTGTTTTTATACATTTAAAATCATCAGTCAATCATTGTTAGACCACCATTAGAGACCTGGAAGCACTGGACGTCCGTTTCGTCCAGCTATGGGACTCATCAGCAGTGCTCATTCACGACTACTGCACCCCGCAGGATTCGATCTCGCGACCTTCGGTTTTGTGCGTGAGCGCCTAACCGTTGGACCACTGGGCCGGCATCCAACGGTGATAACTTAATAAATTATTATATAAACATTTATTTACCATATTCTATTATGCAGCATCCATAATCCTTCTTAAGATTTAAAAATACATATGTAACACACTACTGAGAAAAAAAAATCAATTTCATTTGACATTCACAGTCCAACTTATTAAATAATCCTGATCATTATAATAACTCTCAAATTTAATTATTTTGATGTGACGCTTATAAGAATTCCTAATGAATCACTGTATATATTATAAAATAGATAGTTTGACTTTAAAATATCGAAATAACTGTTGTGTGTTTATCTAACTTATTGAGAATAACAGTTAAATTTTCCATCTAAAAAGTGTACATAATAAATAGCTTTAGAATTAAAATAAGGTTAAAAGTTGTACTAGATGGAAATTAGTCGTTAAACCAGTTTGTTACAAGATATCTTTGATCTAGTGAGACTATAAATCAAATTTCACTTGCCGAATTGAAACTCTTAACCATTTTAATCCACTTTAATTTGGATAATATCTCTCTATAATAAGTTTACATATTGTGTACAATGTTTATTGACCTTCAGCATACAAAATGCTAGTCAATCATATATCATAACTGAAAAAAAAGAATTGATTCTCAGTTAATAATCATTATTAGTGGGACTGTCATTAGCCGTGGTTAATAGTAATTAACTAAACTGAAACCCAGTAACCTATTTCCATGTCATTTTGAATGCCAATCACTAAAGATGTGATATTGAGATCTAACGCTTATATTGAAATGGTTTATTTTGTCGTACATATTATACTTTCTCTTCTTTACATTATATCTGTAGATATAGTGCTATTTTTATAAATATTATTTATTTAAAATTATTTGTATAAACTTATTATAAATTTTGATTAGCTGCACGGAAAAATCGCTAAACTATTCAATGTACTATTAAGAATATTTGTATAACTTTTGAACTGATTCTATTCCAAAATGAACAATCATCAAATAATCAGCGAGAATTAAGAATGTTAAATTGTCAACCATACAGTAAAATTCATCAGTACACGGTTTCGTTCTTCTTTGTTCGGTAAAAGCATGTTGGTAATTCAAATTAGGAGTCGTAGATGCGCACTGCCGATGAGTCCCATACCGGGATGAAACGGCCGTCCAGTGCTTCCAGGTTTCTAATGGTGGTGGTCCAACAATGATTTATTCATGATTTCAATGTAAAACAAAGATTTCCGTAATACTGTAATTGTTGGGGATGTTAGATCCCCAAAACTCGCTTGTTAAATGCCTTATTTTGGATTTCATGTTTGCCAGCATGGGCTGATCAGTTGACCTTGAGATTTCATTTCCCACCAGGAAAATCCATGGCTGTGATTGGCCGCTGTGTATTTTAGTGGGCTATTTTCGTAACTGTCCCAAGGACGTTTCTGTGATGTATAAATAAACGAGAGTTGTATGCTTGATTGTACTGTGATTGCTGGGTGTTTGTAGAATATACTTTCTGCGCTTACAAAGCCTTTTATCTTCAGCTTGGGATTCAAGGTAGCCTACCTGGACACTGGTAATTGTCTCGTTCGCGTTTATCGACTAAGGTGAACTCGTAATAGCTTCAAGAGTACCTAGTGACAAACTCTACAGTAATGCAAAACCGAATCGATTAATTAGCGCACGTTTTAACGTCACCATTGAGATCACGTACTAGTGAGCACTGCAGGAAAGTCTCAATGTAGGATGAAATAAAAACAAAATTAAAATAAATCTCTACAATTATTCATTAAATAATGAGTTGGGATTCTTAAAAAAGGCGTTTACAAATCGTTTTATCGATTATTTCTATATCGTTAATAATCGTAATGATCTATGTTCATGTTATTTATTATAATCATAACTTGTCTAATGACTGGACGTGAATGACAGAAAGTTTTACAGTTGACATCCTTGTTTTCATTCCTCAAAAAGATGTTTTTTATAAATTTGACAAATAGCTCAATTTCATTTCTGATATTAAATTCACATTTTTCAGTAATATGACCATGTCATATAATACTAGTTAGTTATTGTGACCAATATTGATTACACATTTTGAAACCATGAATTGATCAATGTTAAACAACCATTAGAAACCCGGAAGCACTGGACGGCCGTTTCGTCCTGGTATGGGACTAATCAGAAGTGCACATCCACGACTCCTGCACCCGGCAGGGCCTTCGGTATTTTGCGTGGACGCCTAACCTTTGAACCACTGAGCCGGTATCCCACATCGATCAATTCATGGTTTCGAAATGTGTAACTTAACAATCTCCACAACCCCGTAATGCAACACTCATTAAGCAAACAATTTGATCGAAAATGTAAATGGAATCGTTAAATTTTATCGACTGAGATAATTTGTCTTTTCTTCTGGTAATTATATACATTTTTATTAGATTTATTATAGTTCAAGTGTTAATCGTTCACTATCGACACAATGCAACATGTAATCATATAATTCCGTACATTGATCTGAATATTACCATTCAATTGCAATTTGAGAAAACAGTAAAGAAGATCTTAAAATTTATCATTATAATGTTAGGAAAAATGTAGTCATGTACTAATCACATTTAGTTTTTATATGAAACATTATTTGTCTTCAGATGGTATTGATCAAGTGTGAGATCATGGTCAAAGTAACTACTTCAATGGTTTTTTTAAGTTAGTTATCTATTGAGGTCTGAGAACTCTTGTTATTTGATAACTTTATGCATGACATATTGTCCGTTAAGTCTTTGTCAGCTTTATAATGTACATTCATTAAAAAACGTTTATCTTTTGTTTTAAAGATTGTAGAGTAAAAGCTGTTGTTTTTTTTATAAAGAGAAATATTTTATGTATAAAAATGAATTGTTTCATACGACATACTAACAACTACTGACTGACTTTAAATGATTGGGTCTTCTTTGTTAGTAAGAACCAGTTGTACAAATACGTTAGCGTAGTAATCCTACAGTCTCATGTATGAGAATACTGCTGATGGTTCACAATGTACGACAGAGTAAAACAGCTCGATTTTCACGATGTTTTTAATCAGGATATTGTCAATCGTTCCTTCTTCTCTAGCTACATGAAAAATGAGACTTTGGTCAAAGTCGAATGTGCGGCATGTTTTTTGCTATGGTTGACAAGGTAATGTCTAAAGTGAAAAAGTAATTTATCTTGTTTGAATAATAAAACAGTTTATATTACGATCTAATGGGTATTCATTTGCATTGGTTATTTGAATCTTTCCATTGACGCTTAGGACTGTAGTTGACCTGCCACTATGGGATATGTGCAACCTATGAGGGTCACCTGGATACTGTCGTCAAGTCACAAGCACTATTAGCATAGACAGGTGGTGTCTAGCAGTGGGATCCAGGATGCACACTTCGTCCTATTTAGGACTAGTCAGCTGAAGGTACCCGATTCCCAGAATTAATGTCCGCCTCGGGGCTCGAACTCAGCACCATTCGCTTCAAATATCATCTAGCTGACAGCTTCCAAGTAAGATTAAAGGTGCGTCTTGGATTCCGTTGCTAGCCACCATCCATCTTGTGAATATATCTTAATTAATTATGTAGTAATGATAGTAGCCGTAGCAAAATAATAAAAATTCATGAATGTCATAAAAATTCTTTTTGGTAGCTTATAACGTAGAATAATTAACAATTATTATTTTAAGAACAGATACTTTATATCATATTTACAGAAATCCCCTGATCAAAATTAACGATAACATAGAATTAGTTTAGTTAACTATAGTCAGTATGGAAGAAATTTTAAGCACCATGGGTAAAATTGGTCATTCACAGGTTAAATAAATGAACATATTTAAATAGAAGATATATATATATATATATATATATATATATATATATATATATATATGCATGGGTGTATCACAGAGTGTCGCCCTAAAGTTACGAACAAGAAGAAGAATTTTGTATCCGAATGTATGGAGCTACCAGAATTTTTCGAAAACTCACAAAATGAATTAATGTAACTTGGCTACAATTATTATTCTTACCTCATTAAAATGAAGAATATGAACGGAAAACGATTATGTAAAGTTTTATAAGCAATTCATATTTATTGAAATCATGAACTGATGAATAATAGACAACCACAGGAAAACTGAAAGCACTGGACGCTTGCTTCATCCAAGTATGGGACTCATCATTAGTGCGCATCCACGACCCCACAGGCAGAAATAGAACCTAGAACCTTCTGTCTCGCTCACGAACACCCAGCCTCATGAACGCTGAGTTTTAGTGGAACATCGTATGTAGTGGAGTTCAACCGTGTCGGGTGTAAGGTAGTGAGTTATCTACTGAATATAGTAGATGAACGTCCCACAGTATCGTGACCTGATTCAAGATAGAAATTAATACCATTGGATAATGGCTTAATGCCCTAGAGACTAAGGGTTGGTCCGCGAGGCCGAAGATCCTGGGTTCGATTAAAGCGTGTAGGAGTCGTGGATACGCACCACTGAAAAGTCCTACCGTCGAATAAAACGGGCGTCTAGTATTTTTAGGTTTCCAATGACGGTCTAACATTGATCGACTCATGATTTCAATAACACTCAACAGTCTCCATAACCCCATAATGAAGATCTGAATTTAGTTATGAAAATATAACAGAATCATAAAACGTTCTCTTTTCTTTTTATAAAAATACTCGATTAGGTTTAGCCGGTTTAACTGTTGGTCATCCTATGGATACTGTCAAAGTTATTATGCAGAGTTCGTCCATTAATTTAAGATGTACAGAAGTAACTAATTTGATTCTTGAAACTGGTCTAGTAAGTTTTAAAAATGAGTTTAAATCAACTATTTTTTTTAAATCAATCATTTTTAGGATCTAGTGTTTAATGACTGAGTTGAAAGGTGTCTAATAAGATTGCATGTGCAACAGTGAACAAGTGATCTATTGACTATCGATTATATATGCAACAACTAACTACGATAGGATAACTTAATGACATTAATTATTATGTATGCCTATTTTTGTAGGTCGATCAATACAAGTTTGTATAATTTTGATTAGTTTGCTTCAAGGGTAGTATTAGTTCATTGTCGGTTGATGTGATCACAAGCGAACAATCATATGTTTCTCTTTCATATAAGTGAAGTGATAGTGAACATGAAAAACAGTATCAGCTTTTTAGAGTGAACAAACTCACAAGTTGTAAGTCAGTTTTCTGATCTTTTACAATGTTCAAATGTGACAGAAAAGTTTAACCAGTTAAATAAATGTCTGCATATATTCTATCTTTCTCTAATTTTTATAACATTAGAAACGATTTTTTACTGGGCTTGCAATTCCGTTTTATTCATATGGATTTATCAATGCAGTAATATTTACTGCATACAAAGAATCTTTGAATAAATTTGATGCAACTGGTGAATCTCCATTGGCAAATGCAATGGCCGGTGCTATATCAGGAGCTGTACAATTAATACCAGCTGTTCCAGTTGAAGTTATTAAAATAAAACAACAATCACTAGCAGGTCATCTAGGTAAACTGGTTCATTTATCATGAATGATTTAGATTCAAAAATGTATTCAAGAATGTTCACATTTTTTCAATTGCCAAACGTAATAGTTTGGCAGTAAGGTAGGTTTTGATTAGCCTTTTTGTCCTAGTTTAAGAATCCTCAGCAATGAACATCCATAACCTCAGTAAGGATTAGACTAGGATCTCCACTAATTTTGGTCAGCTCTTAATCTTCAAATAACTAATCTGGTATCTGACCGCTTACTTTCCAACTACTTCGTGAAATTTTCATAAAGAACAAATACTTGTATTGTATTAGAGTTTGTGTGATTTGGCTGTTATTGTTGGAACAATAATATTGTCTGGTTTAATTACCAATGATTCAGTGACCTATTAACAACGACCGAGAATCTGGCGCTAATTGAACCTTGAGCCGATTAGAAATCAGTGTCGAATCAGAAATCAAACCAAACAAAAGGTATTTTCTCTATTTTACAGTTGTTTCTACGACTTCGACGCATATAACAACATAGAATATGGTCTTGATGACACAAAAACATAAATCAGTGGAAAAGTGATTGGTGCCTTAGAAGTCAGTAATAACTTGGAGAAAGTAAAATATACAATAACAGTTTATGCATCAATTAAAAAATTACGATTAAGAGAATATCATAACACAGTAATCTGAATGTCAAAAATCCCAGTCCGATCCTCGTGTGCAAATTGGTGAATGAAAGCGCACTGGTAATGAGCCTTAAACTAGAACAAAATGGCTGGCTATCCAGTGCTTCCAGGTTTTCAATAGTGGTTTATTTAAGTTCAATTTGTGATTCAAACTGTGAAAATGCTACAATCTACTCAAATCCACAATACAAATAATTAGATAATAAAAGCGTAAAAAACAATTCTTCATTGGATAGATACACAAGTTAAGACGTCCTTAATATTCTTCACCTCGTTGTGATACCCTTTTACTGACAGACCATATGGGAGTGGTATTCACTCCAGATAAATTATCCTCAAATTAGTACAGAAACGGAAGGCTCATTGAGCAAACACCATTGATTCCTTTTCTCATGCACTTGATGATTCGTAAACTGAAAGTACACTTCAAAGTCTCACTTATTTTTGTAAGTATACATGTTTATCATTTGTTTTTTTTAGGTAAAAAACAATTGACTGCTCGAAAATGTATTCATACAATATTACGTATGAAAGGATTTACTGGACTTTATTCAGGAACAATTATTCAAGCATTTCGTGATATTCCAGGCTTTACTACTTATTTTTATACCTATTCTGAATCAATAAAAATTGGAAGACACATTGGCTTGTCAACATTTTGGTCTGCTTTTCTTGGTGGTGCAATTAGTGGAACATTATCCTGGTGTGTTTCAATGCCATTTGTAAGTTAATTAAGATGATGATGATGATGATGATGTGTATTTGTAGGGGTTTGTAATTTCTGATTATAAATATTCAAGAGAGTAAGCAATAAGTCATTCTGTGCTGGCATAATAGTATCCTGCTGATTGAATCCCCTCATCATTGCTATTTTTCACCATAAGTTTTAGTAGAATTGCATTATTGCCGACAGTGTTATGAGTTTCGTCCTCTTTAATACTTGTCATTTGTTTGTAATTATATTCCGGTTTTGATGTTTATATTGATATTTAAATCCAGTATTTATTACTTCAAACTCCACAGAGCTATTTATTGAGCCACTTATTCCGAATACTTATTGAATTGAGACTATCTGTAAAGATGAAACGGGTGTCCAGTATCCTGCTGCTATAATTTAACTTTACTAAAGATAATTGTGTATATTTCAAAAAATTGAAATTTGTATAAAACGAATCTGTAGTCGATAATTTTTGTTAGATTGAATACAGAATAAACGAACGTTTAGAATTAAACATTTTAAAATAGTGAAACAAACATTATTTTTAACCACTTCCGGTTTTATAAAATGTACTTGTACATGTTGTCTCACTCGGTTAGAACACTTGAAACAATCCATATCAAGTGATAATGGACTTTAAGAACATTAGTTTATTTAATATGATTTGGAAAATGTCCTTTACTAATTGAATCAAATGACATATGAAAATGTTCAAAATAACATTGATGGGAAAAGTTAATTAAAACAAACTAGTTCGATAGTGAATGGACTTTTAAAAGTACATAGTCTTTTGTAGAGAAATAGGTTGATAACTTGAGAAAAAAAACTTAGAACTTTATAAAGTTATTAGAAAAATAATTATTATGTCGAATTCCAATTATTTTAGAACATATTTGTTGATAAGGTGATAAAATATTAGGAAATGACTTTAAACATGGAAGGTAAACTTCTGGAAGATAATTCAAAGTAAATGAGCAATGAAAATCATCCCTCTAAGTAGACAGACATCGGTAGACACTCATTTTTTGTAGTGAGAATTAGATCAATGCCAAATGGTTGACATTTTTTCGGATTTTAGTTTTTAACTAGCATTCATTATATTTAAGTTCTTTTTAAAACTTAGAAAGCTGTAGTTGATGAATAATGGGTGACTCATCTTACTCATAAGGTGACATTCACTTTGATCAAAACTACCCAAAGTAATGGCTAAATTGAAATTCTACTATATTTATTTAATGATCTATAAAGTTTTTAGATAAATCAGTTATTTTACTAATCTTTCTCCTTATTCATAGTTATAGTTGCAACTCATAATCATTCTGAAGTAACTTCTATTTTCATTCAACAGATAAATTATAAACAAATAAAGACTTCACTCCGTCCATGCTCTTCAGTTGTTTTGATAAAATTATCACAATAGAAATAGTGGTCAGAATGACAATTTATTGGTTAGATCACTTCCCGAATCCCAGTGAAATGAAATTAACAAGATGAATAGCCATCGAATAGAAATAATAATAGTATCAGTAGTAACAAGGTTAAGAATCGAGAACATGGTTTGTAAACAGAAATAAAATTATTGAATGAAAAGTCAAAAAATAATTTCTAGAGGCTGATGAAAAGGGAATGCATCTAACCCGTCAAAAATGGTTTCGACAGACGTCACTAATCGCTTCTATCTAACCATTAATTATAAGAATCATGAAGATCCCATCTAGATACTATAAACCAACCGCCAAGGCTAGGTTCAAAAGCCAATGTTTTCGTGGATGGATGCCACATCCTTGTTTTGATCCACCTAGTTTTCATCTAACTTAGTCTTATAGTGGCTAACAGTATGTATCAAGGTACGCAGTTGTATTGTTTACTTAAAACATGTCCAAGTCATCTCAATCAACAAATGATACAGAATTTGGCTTGTTAAATAATTTAATTAAATTATTTTGTTGTCATACAATGCAGTATCCACTTGGAGCTTTCTGTGAAGATTGTACAATACAGAGTTAGCTTTCATCGGACTGACACTAACTACAGAATAGTTGTAAACTAGGTATCTTTGGCTGACAATAGTGATCCAGTGGTCCAAAAGTTTTAAGTGTGATCCTTTATTGAGTCGTGGATAAGTAGTTGTGAGAAACTTCAAACGAAGACGAAACAACTATTCAGTGGTTTGCTAAGTAATCCAGATCATTAGTTAAGACTCAATTCGTTAAAATTTTCTGAATAAGCTTGTTTAGATTGTTATAAACATTTTGTTAACTCGGAAAAATCTTGTTTCCGCACAAGTTCTGCTTTTCACTGAACAAATCTATACAGACCCAACATTGTAGATCATAAATACTGACGTATTACTATTAATTGATATTTTTAGGATGTAATAAAAACAAGACAACAAGTTAGCAATGGAATAACAATTTCAAATGTTCTAAATACCTTATTAAAAGAAAACAGTTATAAAGTATTTTTCCGTGGATTCAATGTGGTTATCACTAGAGCATTGTTAGTTAATGCATGTACATTCGCTGTCTACGAAACAGCCTATGAATATCTTTCAAAATAGTAATATTTTCTTGTTACATTAACTTTTTATTTTTACTCTGTATACATTGTTGAAATAAGTTTTTCTATGTAATTTATAAAATAATTTATTGTAAAGAATTTTAATTTATATTATTAGTTTAAAAGATTTGATTTTTCACTTAAATATGACTTTTCTTATAAAGTTATTAATATCAATTAATGAAGTGTTGAAAACCATAATGCTATAGGCAGTTAAAGAACAATAAAAAAAAACAACACGTTTCTCATGTGATTACTCAATAGTACATGGTCCACCAATACATCGAGTCGATGGTATTTTTTTTCAATTTGAAGTGGCCTAGTTATTTTTCTCAACGTCTTCACTCACCGAAATAGGTGTATAAGGAAATATCTAGAAAATTCTAATTCTGTGATAAAAAAAATGTATTTAAATGCTTGGATTTCTAAATGTAATAAGATCTGTAGTCTGTTTTTGAGTAGTAACAGTGTTTTGATAGCAAGAAAATATAAGGGATTCAAACATTGATGATGTCAGCATTAAATCCTCTATTCTTATATGTAAATGACGAATCAGAGACTAAGATCAAAAACGATGTTTCAGTTTTTTGAATTCACTTCTTAATTTAGTTGGCCATTTTCTATTGTTAATATGATTGGTCTGTGATTATTCTTTCTACACTATAAAGCGTACATTGATGATTATTTTAGTAATTTTAATGATCACCTTGATGGCTGTGAATAGGGAAATACTCCTAAACGACTCAAATTTGATTGGGAGTTTGAGAACTAGAATTAATAAGAGACGAGAAAGAACTGTGGTTATTCTCATTACTCAGGATTTCGATTTTGCTATAAGAACAAATATGAACCCGCTAAGGTTAATTCCGAATACTTTATCATATTCATAATAACCGAAAATGCCTATTTCAATACCTACGAAAAGTTATTTTTGTGCTGGTGATGTTGATCAGAAGAACAACGAAAGCTCCACAACCGAAGCATCCAGCTGAGAGAACGAAACACCACAACAAAAGTCAGTTTAAATAACACTATTTCTAAGATCTCAGCTAAATTAAAGAGACAGTTTTCAGGTCAGTATGCATTAGTTAAGTTTTTATCATAAGCAGATTATAGGAAATGAGCGTCCATAACTCGAAATCTATATTTTACATAAAATTTCTGGATAAAGTTTCAGTCTTATGACAACTTATACGATTTTAAGCTTTATTTAAATCATCTCAGTTTTCTGATAGTGTTAAATGTGAAAATAATCAATAGTGTTCATCAAGGTTATCAAGTATTATAATCTTAATAAGCCAATATCACAAAGGTACTCAAATAGTCTTAGTTCTATTTACAGTCAATTTACACTCATCTTCTTGCCTATATTTGCTCATACAGACTTTGAGTAAGCAATCAACAAAATCGTATTACACAAGAATACTTTGTTAGGCGCCTAAAATAGTATGTAAATTTTTGGATGTAGCAAGTAGTCAATTTAGTCAAATAGTTAAATTATTTCTAATAAAAAAAAGCAAATTTATAATAATAACTTCTTTCTGCTAAATTATAGCACTCTCTGAAGAGGGAGGAGAAGTTATCAAATGAATTCTTTTTATTTTTACATAATCAGTTCGCACATCTACCCAGTAGTATAATAATAATAATAATAATAATAAAGGAAGCAGAACACAGATAGACTGAAAAATCACATCAAAAGTTAAAGGTACAGAAAAACGGAGAAATATATATAGTTTACGAAATAGAACAAACAATACACAATAACTCATCTGATGAAAACATTAAATTAAAAAAAAACGGTGAATGAAATCATTTACTTTGGTTTTTTTTCTGTTGTTATTAATTGCTTCATTATGAAATTCAAAAGGAAAATTATGCTTAAACACAAATATTCACAATGACATTGATGTACAAATACAGAATTTCTACAATGATATGAAGAAATAAAATAATAGACGAATCTGGGCAATACAAATTAAAAATAATAAATAATTTGAACTTTGCTCTGATTCATTTTTTAGAGGGTGCGTATATTCTTCTGTAATGATAATAATAATAATAATAATAATAATAATAATTATTATTATTATGGTCAGATATTGGTAGAAAATAAAATGATAATTTATTGATTAATTGATTTGATCAATGAAGTGAAACAAATCTATAGTTGGAACTAAGTAGGAAAAAAAACACATAAGTAATTACATTTAAAACAAAGCACAAACAAAAATATACAAACAATGATTTGGTTGATGACTGAAAATTTTTGAAAATAAAATTAATGACAATTGAACGAAAGCACAATGGTATGGAGGAGTTCTTGCTTTGTTTTGAAATTTTTATTTCTAATAAAATAATCTATTAGAAATAGGGGTGATTATTTTTTGAGTGTTTTTTCATTTTATCGAGAAGAATAAAATCAAATGTGAGTAGGTAAGTTATGTCTGATGAAAAAGCATGTAGAAATTTAATTGCTTAAGGTTTTATATTTAGACACACAAAAATACACATATGAATTGGTTAAATGCATAAATAAACTTTAATGCAGATAAATTTGTTGTCAAAACGAAATCCATCCATGATAATCAAGTTTAAAAGTATTCTCCGGGATATTACACACAAATTGTAACAGATTCAAAGAAAATAATTCAAAGTTTCACTCGGATGTATTAAAATAATAATCAGAAGTGGTAATCATATTAGCAAGTGTATAATATTTATTTATGGAAATTTTTTTAGAAATAATGAATCAGAAAATAATGATAATAATAATAAGTGAACAAAAGTTTTAATCTTAACAGATAAACTCTAGTGAACTGGAAAAAAAAACAATCAATCCAATTAGTTAAACATCTTTGTGATGAGTTGAAATCTAGTCAGTTTATACATAAAATAGATAAAACAACTGACAACCCAATCAAAAGTTTAAAAAAGAGAGGAAATGAGGTGAGAGTGCTCAGCAGTAAAAGGTAGACAGGAATGAATGCTATTTTGTTGTTGAAACTTTATTTTTTTTTTAAATCGACAATTGAAGCTATGACAAAATGAGAGACTGTTTTATAGTTGAAATAATCAAATCGAAATGAATAAGTAATCCAGATGAATCAAATCAATATATTGTTTGTACACAGCAGATATCACTTTCCATTGGATTGAGAAAATTTGTTTATTGTCTATCCGGAAGGTTTACTAAAAGAAGAATGATATAAATACAAGTATAGTTCAAACATATAATAATATACTGAAGATATACATTCATACATCCTTCACTCTGTAAAAAGACATCATATTTTGATCTAATGAAATTTTCAAATGAACAGCAATAAATACGTGCTTGCATTACGGGGTTGTGAAGATTGTTAAGTTACACAGTTTTGAAACCATGAATCGATCAATGTTAGACCACCATTAGAAACCTGAAAGCACTGGACGGCCGTTTCGTCCTGGTATGGGACTCCTCAGCAATGCGCATCCACGACATTAACACCGTTAGATACCGGCTCAGTGGTCCGATGGTTAGGCGTTCGCGCACAATACCGAAGGCCCTGGGTTCGAATCCTGCGAGGTGCGGGAGTCGTGGATGCGCACTGCTGAGGAGTCACATACCAAGAAGAAACGGCCGTCCAGTGCTTCAAGGTTTCTGATGGTGGTCTAACATTGATCGACTCATGGTTTCATAAATACATATTTCCAAAATTATTTCACGTACTGATTTTTCATTGTTCTCTGTGCATGAGTTTTGATTGGTTGTAAAGATCAAGTCACCCACACGATGACCCATGGATTTTCACTAGAATTTCTGAATCACTTGGGTGTAAGGTGCTTTTATTAGATTAAAAGTGAAAGGTTTTTGATTGGATGTTTTTTCAAGTAGTCACTATTTCTTTTTAGATCAAAGTATCAGTTCGAAAAAT